AAATTGCTACAACTACTAGTTTATCAATTCCCACCGAACGCGTATATTAACAAAGATAGTATCACTCAAGTTCAAAAAATAATCCAGGACGAGTATGGATCCTACCATAAATAACTAACTGACCATTATCATCAATCCAACAGTGCCCTAACTCCCAGATTCTGTACTTTGTATGGGTGTACGTTTGTTGGAACTCGACGTATAATTTAGATTATTTACTAGTAGTATATTTGTCGGAATTTCTGAGAAATTCGCAATCCACCGCCTCTTCAACCCAATTGCTGCTTACAGCAACCACTAAAGCAATAAAGCTGCTTACATAGAAACAAAATTAGAAGATTTAATAATATTTACTTAAAAGGCCTTAAAAAAAGAAAGGGAAAAAAAGTTAATGAAGCAGAATAAAGTTAAAAACCCTGGGAATTGAAGTAATTATAAAGCAGCCAGGTGTGTATTTGCGGCGCTACTTCTTACTACGAAGCTTCTTTCCAACACACCATACTACCATAGAGCTCAGGTTTTTTTCAACTTTGATACTTGTGCCCTCTGTAACTGAAAGGAATATTTGTGCTTATTTTGCTACTTGTACATTCCAAATTGTCATGACTTGTTCTATCAGTACCTGTGAAGAGATATTGAATTTTTGTAATCGATGAAATTCAAACTCTCTCTAAAATACAATCATCTACCGTTAAGGGTTTGTATAATGCTCGATTTTGTATTATATATTTCTCAAACATAAGCTTAATCGTGCAAATTTATTCTGTTTACAACCGTTTTCAATAAACATGACTATTGTTATGGAACAAAAAATCTATAATAATATTGTAAAATAGTCACCAAAATGAATATTGCTAAGTTGTACTAGTCCAACGTATGAGTATGTGGATTTACACTCAACTTCAAACTCAGTTGACGATGTTAAGATAAGAGTACAACCTAGCAATGCAATATTAAAATGTTTTGTATGACTTGGAGAAAAAGGCAAAAAATTGAAAGATATGATAAAACCCATAATGATGACTATGCTAAAATTAAACTTTCTGCTGGCAAGTAAGGTTCCACGAAGTATTCACTAATAAAAAAGCATATAGAGCCAGTTTTATATATAGATCGTATCATCGTTTTTTCCCTTTTTCTCCTAACTTTAACTTTCCGCGTGACCAAACACTCTCATTATAGATTTCACAAAAAAATTTCTTGCTTATTTTACTCCTTTTTTTAATTTAAATATATCACCAAACCCTAAAGAAAGCTAAAACAAGCTAAAAGCTACTCTTCCTATATGTACGCGCTTGCTTCATATATATGTAGTGTTGTTGTTCATACTATATAAGTATTTTTGCTTCATTAGTTACGCTAAAATTGCAACTTGATCAGCCGACCACGGTTTGAAACTTAAGGTTTGTAAGCATTCTTTCAAAAAAGTAAAGAGAAAGAAGAAAGCCTAAAAGGGGAAAAAACCAGAAATGGAGAGGGGAAAAAAATTAATTGATCCCCGTGTATATGGAATTGGAATCTACAGGGTAAACCTCTAGAAAATCTCCCATGCAAGCTGGCTGTGGGAGCCATGGCTAATACCAAAAAACCTAAAGAGCTTAGAAAAGATGAAGAATCACACATGTCCCAATCAAATCGTGGGAAGGATATTATATACAAGTTTCTTCTTTCTTTTCAAAGTGTTTTTTTCCCATGTATATACTTTTTGGTGCGTTCTATTTGGAGTTATTATTAATTAATCAATATTTAAAGAATAACATTCTCCATTAAAATTACCTGAACTTCTCATAGTAAGAAATGGTTATAACATTGACATTCGTCATTTCGATGACAAACGAGTAGCACCGATTAATTATTTTTCGTATTATTACAAGAAATCATTGTAAATTAATCGCTTAATATATTACTCCTTCCGTCCCAAAATAATTATACAGTTTGAGATTTCATTTTGGATGTAATTTAAAATAAAAATAAAAGTCTAAATTGGATAATAATTTTGAAACGGAATAAGTATTTATTATAGATTTTAGACTCTCACTAGTGTATCGAATGATTAATACTAATAGAGATTGAGGTCGGCAATAATCAAGTGCAAAATAAGTGCGAAATGATGATAACACGACTACTGATCATTCCCAAACTTATTTCGTATAAATATTTTAATGATGGGAGGAAAAAAAAGGCGTTTCAAGAGTAGAAACGCCAAACTCATAGCTTCCAAGCTTTTTCATGAAAAGAAGAGAATTAACTCATCCCCCAAAAGAATTATTTAACAAAGCTTCTGATGCACATGCTACCCTCAATTCCCAAACCTTTTTTTTCCTCTTCTTCCTATGAAAATTCAGACCCCCCAAAATAGAGAATCATCAACTCATCATATGAAGTGGGAGGAGTGGAGTTGAGGCGTGGCGTGGGGCATATATCCCCATGCAATTTTATTTCTTTTCCCAAATGGAGGAGCAAATGAGCTCTTAGAGAGATGATCTTTTTGCAGTCATGAAACCCTAGAAACCAATAAAAACAACCTGCCTACAGCCATGCAAGTACGAGCCTAAAAATTAACCTAATAATTAAAGCTGGTAATCTTAGTTTGTAATCAGTACTAATTAATCACCACCCTTCATGATTAAAGGCATGGTTTTTAAACTTGCTTTTGTTGCTTAGCATTAGGGCTAGCTATAACAAATTAACGCCAAACACGTATCCACTGTCTACTGCAAAGTACTCTGCAAAGTAACTATTAGGGTTTTCACAATTCGATGCGGAAATTAAAGTTTCACCTCTCACCTTGAAAAGCAGTTTAACATTTGAAATTATACAATTTATTTATCATGACAATGCATATACTATTGCTTAAAAGATTAATTCTTTTAATGTGCTGAATCGAGATAATTAAATTGCTGTAGACTCAATTACGATATGTTAAAATTTCTTAGAGTTTCATCCTATTCATCATGATTCACAGTACCATATCTCTTACATAATCCAACTGTTTTTTTTTCTTCTTTTTTTTTTTTTTTGTTTCTTCCTCCCATCAACTAATTCATACATGTTACTGTCGGTATTAATTGGTCAATAAAAGAGTTTATAACCAAATCTCACTATTTATTCGAAGTCAAGATCAGGAATGATTTGACCCGCAATTATAACAAAATCAAGAATAATTACATGTGATTTGAGATAGCATATTTCTACTAGTAAGGATACTTTAAAAAATGTTAATTCGGTGTATCATAGCTTCATTAGTACATTATTATGTGATGAACTATGACTATGTCACGACTTTTCGTGAAACATCGTGAACAAACTATAATCAAGGGTTTTTTGTAATGTAGCCTAAACGTTATCAAGTACTAATTTGGTGATTAAGTCTTTTTTAAAAAATGAAATGAAATAAAAACTAGCCAAGTCATTATGTCGCAAAACCATGCAAAATGATGCGGTTTTGGTGTTGAAATTTTTTCGTAGTAAGCGAAACCAAAAACCATTCAATCCGGCTAACTTGATGCATGTGCAATTATGCATGGTTTTTGCGTCCGTAAAAATTATTTTCTCTTTAAAAAAAGAAAAAAAAAAAAAAGAAGAAGAAATGTATATAGATAGATGTGGGGTCCGAGTCAGCAGGTAGCCAATGGAGATGTGATATTATGAATGAACCCAATAATGGGTTGGCAGGAATGGGCTTTGTGGGCCAAAAACAGCGGGTAAGAGTCTCAATCTCACACACAGTGTACTTCTTCTTCTTCTACTCAGATGATCGGACGGCTCCCGATGGGCGATTGAGTGTGTGGGAGTTGGTCCCGCCGAGCATCCCTCCACGTGAGCAACCTTCCCTCTATCCAGTCAGCATTTCCTTCCTACCAACTAAGCATCAATTTTCTTTGTAGCGATTTTTTTTTTTTTTTTTTTCATTCAAATGGATTTTCGATTTTTGGCCCCATCAAATCCTAATAAGATGAACCATCACTTTCACACCGGCTTCTAAAATTGCTCAGGGTGGTGGTAACCAACTTTAATCTACTAGTACTATATGTTATCAAGGATTTTTAAGATAAGTTTTTTAATCGCCATACTAGTTTTATAACTTATACAGTGTTTGACGTGTTATCTTCAGACACTGTTATATGTATTTACACACTGTAAAATTGAACCCGCAAACTTTTTACAATGTATTTAATGTTCTTGATTACTAGTTACAAAGTGCATATAGCTCTCCTAACTCTTGAATGTACGTCTATAGTAACATTCTAAGTTGAGTGGAGAAGTGTGATTTTTTTGTTCACAAATGTGGAGTAACATTCAATATTTACTTTTTTTTATATATACAATTCTTTCAATATTTATTTTTTTTTATATACAATTCTTACAAACACCTAAACTATTACATGTGTTAGTGTGAGGGATGGGATTTACTACTAACATAGTTTAGCGAAGGACGACTCCACGCCTGCAACGCCTCTCTTTCCGCGTGTTCTTACCGTGAGGTTTCGAACCTGGAACCTCCGGATTGAATGTCTAACCCTCATCCAAAATCCATAAGTCAAACATGGAGTAAAAAATAGAGGATCAGGTTTTGGCAACGTCGGTTTGCATTAGTCCCCACCCAAACCCCTATTAATTGTCACTTGTTTTCTACGCTGCCCAATTTGCCATTAAATAAGCCAATTCAAACTATAATTCTCAACGCCAATTTAATCAAAAAGAAAAAAACAATTACACCAATAACAATAATAACTAACTACAGCATCTTTATATTAATAAAATACACGATGCATTTAAATAAAATTTGTATAATGATTAAATACCAAATAAAATAATGGCTTTGCAGACTTTGAGCTTATGATTTGAGAATGACTCATGGTAGAGAGAGAGGCATTAACTTTCTCTTCTCTTTGGTCACATGCATTTTTCCATTTTCCATTTTCTTAAATTTCAAACCCCTCAAAACCTCCTATATATATCCCCCTCTTCCTTCTCCATTTCCATCATTCAGTTCAACTCAAAAAACAATTTCTCTCATCTTTTGTTCTATACTACTCTCACAAAACACAACACACACACAAAAAAACAAAAAAAAAAAAAACACTTACCAAACTCCTTCTGATCAAATTCCAAATTCACACAGAAATGTTTAACTTCAATTTCATGGATCCTGATTTCTTCTCAAGAAGATGTGTTTGGGTGAATGGACCTGTGATTGTTGGAGCAGGTCCATCTGGGCTGGCTGTTGGAGCTTGCCTGAAAGAAAAGGGTATTCCTTTTGTCATCTTGGAAAAGGCTGATTGCATTGCTTCCTTGTGGCAAAAACGTACTTATGATCGCCTCAAGCTTCATCTCCCAAAGCAATTCTGCCAGCTTCCCAATTTCCCTTTCCCTGATCATTACCCCGAGTACCCATCCAAGAAACAGTTCATTGACTACCTCGAATCATATGCCAACCATTTCGACATCAAGCCTCAGTTCAACGAATGTGTTCAATCTGCTAAGTACGATGAGGCTTGCAAACTGTGGAGGGTCAAAACCGTTGCCGGAAACGGCGCCGAGGTTGAGTATATTTGCCAGTGGATTGTTGTCGCAACAGGGGAAAATGCAGAGCGTGTTGTCCCTGAAATCGACGGCCTAAAGGAATTCTGTGGAGAAGTTCTTCACGCCAGTGATTACAAATCAGGTGAAAAATACAAAGGAAAGAAAGTTCTCGTTGTTGGTTGCGGTAATTCCGGCATGGAAGTCTCTCTAGATCTCTGCAACTTCGATGCTCATCCTGCCATGGTTGTTCGTAGCTCGGTAAGTTTTTTTTTACAGTTTCAATCAATTAATATTCAATATTATTTTGATCTGAAATGTTCATTTCAGTATTTCAGCATCTGACCTTATTTATTTTTTTCCTATATTTCAGGTTCATGTCTTGCCTAGAGAAATTTGCGGCAGATCAACATACGAGTTAGCCATGTTCATGCTAAAATGGCTACCCCTTTGGCTGGTTGACAAAATCTTGTTGATTTTGACATGGTTCATCCTCGGAAGCATTGAGAAATATGGTCTGAAAAGACCATCAGTTGGTCCTTTGCAACTCAAGAACCAAAGAGGAAAAACCCCTGTTTTGGACATTGGTGCCTTGGAAAAAATCAGGGCAGGAGAAATCGACATCGTCCCAGGAATCAAGAGATTCACTTGTGGGATGGTGGAACTCGTTGATGGTCAAATGCTTGAAGTTGATGCAGTTGTTTTGGCCACTGGATATTGCAGCAACGTTCCCTATTGGTTACAGGTGAGAAAAATGTTCCAAACTAATGTTACATTCAATTAATTTAAGTTCTCAAAAATGTTTCTCCCAAACAATAAAACAGACTGCTAAATTTGTTCTGGGATTTTTTTTGTTTAGCAGGGAAATGATTTCTTCTCAAAGGAAGGGCTCCCAAAATCACCATTCCCAAATGGATGGAAAGGAAAAGATGGATTATATGCAGTTGGGTTCACGAGGAGAGGGCTTGCTGGTGCTTCTGCTGATGCTACTAAAATCGCTAGTGATATTAGCAAAGTTTGGAAGGAAGATTTGAAGCAGAAGAGGCAAAAAGTTCCCACTCACAGACGCAGCATTTCTACGTTTTACTGATTCCCCTGTTTTTCTATTTTTTTCCACCTCTGACCTTTTTAACAAAATTCTTTTATTCCTTTGCCATTTGCAAAAGGGCTAAATACCAAAATATTAGATTAGAGGTAGTGATTTAGTAGTATATTTGTGTAGCAAAAAAAAATATCAAGTAAAAAAAAGACCAAAAAAAAAAATAAAAAAAATTGCAGATAGCATATATAGATTAGCAGCCCTCTCCTGAAAGCCCACTGAATTTTAGTAATGGTTGGGCATTTTGTACACATAAGGATGATGAGGCTACCTTATTATTCTTTTTTCTCCCCTCTCCACATCCATTTTTTTTGTAGTTCTCTTTTTGTAAAAAAAAAAAAAAAAAACTTGATATGTATTATTACAATGAAAATGATATTTGTTCTTCATTTTCTTATTTTTTATTTTTTGATGATTTTCCCCTGCTTTCAGAAGCATTTAATTTGATTATGATACGAACCACTTGTTCCAATCAATCAATGCATTGTAGTATAATGGTACACTGTTTTGACACGAAAATAATTCCATTGGATTTTTAAGTACGAAGCTAAATCAAACAATACGAATGTCCTCTTCAAAGTACACCATCATCTAGTTTTAGCACTTGTCAAAATCGTTGATGCTTTTGGATGGCAACGTTTTTTGATGATAATCAAAATCAAACTTTGCCTTACCCAATTTGAAGTTTAGCTCATAATGAAATTGTTGTTGCAAATTAACGTACTTTTGATCATTCTGTTTTCAATCTGATATAAAAAGGAATAATTATGGTCCGTGATCATCTGATTAAGCATGTTATGTCATTCTCAGTAAAATGACATATTATTTGAAAAAAAAAATTCTAATTTTTTGAGTTTGACTATTCCTTTTTTTTTTTTTGAATAAAATTAAAATAGGGGAAACTCTCTGTTGGTAGCACATGGAGAGGAATTTTGTGGAGAATGGCTTATGGTATAATTATAGGAAAATTCACAGTTAAATCATGTCTGGAAAGCATCCAGGCTAGATTCATTACAGTTCAAAAGTATCTTAAAACCAAAAGGGAATGCTCAAATCATGCATGATGGTATATATGCATGCCTTTTGTTCAGGAACCTAAATCGATTGTAATGATCTAATTGTCGTTTACTTTTGTTATGGGATTTGCGTATCACATATTCACTGGTTCAAGACAAATATCGTTCTAATAACAATTATAACCATAACAAACTTTTGGAATGATTGGTATTGAATTGGATCGAGCTTGTTTTTGTGAAGAAATTTCTGGTTCATAATCGTAATAGGAAGGACTTTATTTCAGATTGGAATCCATCATTTTTCCCACATATGGAACATCCCACATGGTTCTCTTCTCCCATGCCTTGGAATTTAAGTTTAACCGAACGAATTGCGACTTAGTATTTGACTATTTTACTGGGTTATTCTACTTTATACACGTTCAGAGTAGGACATCAAATTCTTCTAGAAGATCAACACTGACTGCTTCTATGTTCATGGTTTTTTTTTTTTTTTGCAACATCAAACCTCGCAATGGCATCATTTGATTCATTTTCAGGTCTTTCATTTTTTATTTAATTTTTTTGTGCTTACGTAAAAACACGATAAGTGCATCTCCGTCCTATTTTAATAATCCATTCTATTGAACTACTGCAATGTAAAGATAAAACAAAAAGGGATCAGTTATAGTATTGCACCAACATCATGAGATGAGTTCTTCAATGAATATTAATTATATGGATATGCGACAAATTCAAATGATTCAATAAATGTAACAACATTATGACTGCAGTGGCTTCTTATTTTTCTTTTTTCACTCGACATCCCAAACTTAGGGTAGCAGAGATCACAAATTCATCACATGGGATGGTCACATTCCCCTTCTTGCTATCAGTAAACATTGTCTCCCAATTTGAGAATCCCTATTTTTATGTGGTTGATTTTGAGTTGAAATCGCTGACAAAGTTGAACCCCCGAAAAAATTAGAAAAAAAAAACCAAAAAAAAGAGAGAGAAGAGGCCACATTCGGTTTAAATTTTTACAATTTTAATGCTACCTACTGTAAGTATTGTTCGAAATAGGGCACTTAAATGCAAAGTTATGTTACTTGGAATTTCTGGGATCACAAAAAATGAACTTGAGAACATGAAATTAAGATCTCTCGACACAATCCGGCTCCTATATGCCCTTTTTTAATGCTTCCGTTGAGATCTGAAGTCTTGCACCGGCGATTATAACACGTCTCGTATATTGTTGGTGAAATATAATTCTAGAACGGATTAAGTCGATGCTTATTTTTTAGTAAGTTGTAAGTTCCTTAATCATTAAACTATTATGGTCTTTACCACTTCTATTCGATGAATAATCAACAAGACAAAAGACACTTTACGTAAGTTTAGATAATGTTGCAATTTTTTGAGCAAAAACCCGAAAATGAAGAGGTAAGAAAATGACACAAACCATAGGCCCTTCAGCTGGACACGCCGCAAATGGTTCCATGTTGTTGCCGCTTCCGCTGCTTGTAAAGTTGGATCAAACGGGGCCCTTCCAGTAAATTGGACTTGATTGGCCCAATCCAATCCCTTATGTTCCACCATGCAACTCCAAATTCAGTAATGAAAAATGGGATGGGCTTGGCAAAATGTCTATTTTCCGTCATATTGCTGCCATCGTAAGGGGCTATGAACAAAAAGAGTACACTGTAAATTCGATAGACCCCTTTTGTTTTTAGTAATGTCTTGCCTAGAATCAAAACTCTTTTAAGTTATCAGTGAGATGTAAATACTTCCCATATCAAGCGTAGGGGGAATGAAGTTGGGGATTCCCTAGCTAAATTAGGTCTATCGTTACAGTTAGAGTTAAATATTTTGGCAAACTTTTCGAGCGACTGTCTAAGAAAATTAGCTGTTGATTGTCCGTCCTCGCCTAGAGGAACTTATCCTTTGTTCTGAGCATTAACGCTCCCTTAGTAATGAAAAAAAAAAAAAAAAGAATTCAGGCACCCTTAATCATTGGTCGTAAATACAAACGCTATTGTATAAATATAAAATAGAGCAATTTTAAAATTATCCAACCATAAATATTCACCCAAAAAAATACTTTTAAAATATTTTAAAATGCCCCATCTTAATGTTTTATTCTTATTTAAGGGTAATGAATGGGAAATGTTAGCTTTGTGTGCTAATTTGGATTTTTATTAACCATAACCTCAGTTTTTTCATAATTTTATACCAAATCCTACGTAGTTCTTTCGAAATTCAAAAATATAATGTTGAATGAATTGGAACCCAAAAATTGTTAGACAAAAATTTTTAGATTTTAAGATTTCGATTTGGTTCATACTTCTTAAACACTTTTAGTGGGGGCACATGGTTCAAAATTTTCAATAGAAAGCACATTATCGTATTTGGGGTTAATAACAATAGATTATAGGATTGATCTTTTTTTGTTTGGTTCAATTATGTAATATATATTATCGTGTTTGATGTTGTTTGGTTCAAATTGATATCAGCAATATGAAGTAGGTAAAAATCCAAATTAACAATTGTGCAATCATAGTTTTCATTAATCCACAAATAAAATGGTAAAAATCCCTTTATACTCCCTTCATCCCAATTCAATAGTACGCCTTTCTATTTTAGGGTATCCTACTAAATAGGTTTGATTTTTATATTTAGAATTTATTTTTTAAACAAAAAAAACATACTAGATGGTTTAGTGGTAAAATCACTCTTATTCCAAGAGTAGGTCATGAATTCAATCTTATCACCTCAACAAAAAGTGAGGGGTTGACTCACATCTTGCCTAATAACACCTCTAGGGACTTGTTATGAATAACCCACTAATAAACTCCTGATTTTACATCCGACCTTATCACTTGGACTTGCTTAGGGTATAATAATGAGGAGCGGAGTATTTTTTTGAGATTATTACTCAATTATTCAACGTTTTAGATGATCAATTAAACCATGGGGCCGTTTTTGATATTAACCCATAAACAAAAGGCTAAAAAGGTAAAACTAACGTGATTGGAGCAACCCACCCGTGTCCTCCTGCTCCCCCGTGCCCGGAGCTTAGATGAAACATAAAGAGGTGCAAACGACGGGAAAACGCCACCGTCCACAGTCGTGTCATGGCAGGCGCGTCTCTTCTACTCGCTTCTCCGCGATGCTTCTTAAACCTAGCCTTTACCCCTCAACATCATTGTTTCCTCCTCCCCAATTCTTCCGCATTTTCCCGTGGCAGTTCTGATAAATTATTCAGGAACCAATCAAGAATGGGCTATCATGGGTCACCCGGACGGTTACGGGCAGTCACGGTTCAGGCCATGACACCTTCTTTCGGTTCTCGATTGGAGGAGACCGTGAAAACCACTGTCAGTGAGAATCCTGTCGTGGTTTACTCCAAAACCTGGTGCTCGTACGTATTTCTGGTTCTGAGCAACTCCATTTTGACAATTTTTTATTTCCTTTTGTTTATTGTGAAAATTTTTGATGTGGGGTTCTTGAATTTTGTGTTTAAGGTACTCTTCTGAGGTCAAATCGTTGTTTAAGAAGTTAGGCGTGGAGCCACTGGTTATCGAATTGGACCAAATGGGTATGTTTTGTTATCGTCCCCCCTGCAAGTTTCTTTATCCGATTCAACTCTTAGCTTACTCTTTAGTAATGATAATGAGAATAGAGTGCAGAAAGCTGCTTTTAACTTTAGCTGTTTCGGTGAATTATGGAAGTGGAAGTGTACAGTTACTGGTGATAATCAGGTCATGTTTTGTTTGTTTACCATGGATTTGCCTTGTGTTTGAAAACTGAATCTATTATGCTTAAGGAACATAACATTGTCCTGATTACATATTGGCTTAATAGGTGTAGCTTATTGTAGTAGCATTGTTCAGTGATTTAGTCGTTTAGCTCCCCACTTGTACTTTAAAAAAAAGGGAACCTTGCTGAAGTTCCTGTATCAACAAGAGGACATTTTGCTGAGAAAGATGATATATTTGTTGGATTAAATACTGTTCTTCGTTGTCACAATATAATGCGACTAACGGAACTGCTAAGTTGGTGTAGTCCGTATCTTAATCAGGAGTAATTATACTTCGGTGTGAGGTGCATTGTATTGGAGATTCTGATGGGTTTGGGTTTTGTTTAATGTATAGTTTGTTGCCTTCGTGTGATTTGGGGGAAGGAAATTGTAAAGAAACCTAAAATGTCCAGGTCAGAATAAGGGGAATGAAGAGGAGATAAGTTACTCCTAGTAAGTTACTTCTTCATGTGCTTGTTAGCCTCTTCTTAAAGTGGTCCGATAATAGTGTTAGAACTTATAGTGTTCTGCTTTGAAACAAACTTGAATCTTTTGCGCTCAAAATATTTGGATATTAAAGGACATTTCTTGCTTCAGGTCCTCAAGGTCCACAGCTGCAGAAGGTGCTTGAAAGGCTTACGGGACAGCATACTGTTCCGAATGTATTCATAGGTCTGCTCTTCTTACTGTGCTCTCTAACTTCACACAATACAAGACTGGATTTAGGACTTTTAATTGGAGCTTTGAATGGTTCTTCAAGGATCTTAATAGTAAATAGTTGAGTGTCTGAGACTTGTATAAAAGGTGCACAGTTTATAGTATGTTAAGTTGTTGATACTAAGGATAGAATGCTAAAACAAGTCCATTTCTAAGTGGTCTGATAATAGTGTAGCTGATTTCTGCTTCAAAGTCAAAGGATGTCCAGCAGGACTAGCACTTAGAAAAGAGAATTTAGAAGTTTTTTTTTTTTTTTTTCTTGATCCGACAAGTCTTTGGTCAATAGATTGTTCGTATCTCACCAAGAACTACTCTTTTTCAGGGGGCCAACATATCGGTGGTTGTACAGGTATGCTAAGTTTGTCTGTTGGTGTTTATAATGATGTTCTTAACTTTTTGTTCTTCTGTTAGATGTAATAATAAGGTCTGATGTGGTTATAGCTGTATACATGCTCATAAGTATGCGCTTTATGATAGAATGATCCTCATGAAACCTTTCTCTATAAACAACAACTCCAGCACAAATTTAGGAGGCATCAGCTGATTATTATCATTATTTGTTGACTCTGTCTTTGAAATTATTATGAGGTTGATAATTCTACTTCCAATTTTCTTAAACAACTATTGGGCCACACTTAAATCAGCTGAAAGTTGCTGAAATGATAATTAGTGTGGAATATGTAAAGCCATAGTCTCTTAGATAATTAGGACTGGTAGACTTTTTTTTTTTTTTTTATCTGTTTCAGTTTAAAGGGTTTATCAGCTGCAGTTTGTATTGTGCAATGTGGTTGAATTGTTGCATGTTTATATCGATTGCTATCTGGTACTTTTATGGTGGACGATCACCCAATTCACGTTGAGAGATGACATAAAAAGAAAGGCTTGATTTTCGGAATGTTGTTTCTCTGATACAGATACTGTTAAGCTCCACCGAAAAGGAGAACTAGAACCTTTGTTATCAAAAGCTGGAGCTGTAAAGAGAGAGGGCTAGCCACAGGATCATCTTCCTGACATTGTTTGACTTGAGGCATCTGATTGCATTCGGCATCTTCCAGTACAAAACACATATGTTTCTTCTTTCTTGGTAGATAAATAGTAGTACTTGATGTTCGTCAATAACTTAATCCTTCAAACTCAGATTACGGTCCTGCAGAGACCTCTGAAGTTGTAATGTTGATACTTTTTTTCTTTTTCTTTTTTCCTTCTTCTCCTGTTTATGCACTACTTTTTGGTAGCGGAAAAAGCACAAACTCATGCAAACTTTTTTTTTTTCTAAATTGTGTTTATAAACTTTATAAGATCTTTGCCTAACAAAATAAAAAAAAAAAAAACTGTAAATTTTGGTTCGTAAATAAAATGGAAGAAACAAAATCAGGCCCAAAATCGCATGTAAATGTGTCTGTGTGTGATGTGATATCGTGGCTAAATGATGATCATGCAAACAAACCCGAACCGAAATGGAAATTGCTATCTGGGTCGGCACAGGGCCACAACGAAACTGCGAATGAATTCTCCAATGGCCGCTTCGGCAGCTCATCAATTTTCGTATTTTGTGATCGGCTCTGCCAACATCAATCCCCATTTAGCGGGCTTCAGATTTTCGCGCCATATCAAGAGTTCATTTTATACTAACGTCTGCTCAAGACGATGGCGTGGAGTCGGATTCCAACGCCGACGTCTTTGTCCGGTTATTTGTTCGGCCTCCGATAAGCCCACTCCCTCGGAAATCAGGTCATTTCTCTCTTCACTTCTTCAATGGCTTCCGCTCTTAATTTTGAATTTTGTGCGAAATGATTGGTGCAAACTGAAAATTGCCACATGACATCTTCATAAGAAATGTGAACCTTTGCTCTTGAGTTACAATTCTTTGTGAATTTCAACTATGGTGATAGATTTAGACACTAGCTTGCGTGTAGTTAGGGCATATTTCTCTTTATTTTTCATAGTGAGGGGTTGAATTGATCAAAGGCGAATATATGATGAACACTTACTGCTATTTATTTTGAACTTTACACTTATTTTCTGTATTTCATTCACACATTCACTTGTAAACCTAACTTTCAGTGTTCAATCCAATGCTTTCTGTATTCAGGTTCTGTTTAACGAATGAAGCCACCTTGTAATCATCATTTTATTTGTTATATTCAGTTCTTCAGCCAAGATACGGAGTGAAGTTCTCTCCCCTTTTCGATCTGTTCGGATGTTCTTTTATGTTGCCTTCATTGCTAGCGGTGGTCTTGGTGGATTCATTGCTGCCACTCAATTGATTGCTGCTCTTTCTAATCCATCAAGAGCCAACGATGTCCCTGAGATTGCTAAAGGTCTGGCCATAGACCTTGGTGCTGTTGCAGTTTTTGCATTCCTTTATTACAGAGAGAACACGGCAAAAAACGCTCAATTGGCCAAACTCTCCAGGGAGGAAAGCCTTTCAGCTCTCAGGATTCGTGTGGATCAGAAGAGAGTTCTTCCAGTTAGTGCATTTAGAGGAGCTGCCCGTCTTGTTATCCTTGCTGGGCCAGAATCTTTCATTTTAGAGTCTTTCAGAAGTAGCGAACCTTTTACTGAATCCCTTCTTGAAAGGGCTGTACTTGTAGTGCCCTTTGTCACAGATGGTAATTTACCCAGCTTTGAGTTTGATGAAAGTGAGGAGCTGAAGGAGGTAACTGCAAAGAGGAGAAGACTTTGGCAGCTGGCTCCAGTTTATGCCAACGAATGGTCTTCGTAAGTGAGCAGCTCTTAACCTTTATTTGGGTGATTTTGTACATAGCATGACAGTAAACAGCAATGATAGTGAGAATGAAAAAAAATAGTGAAAACTCATAGTGACTGATGAGTAAGGGGCATCAATGTAACTTTTTGGGAAGAATAAAACTTTTAACGGGAAAGTACCGAAAAAATAGGGGGAGTTAGTATATGCCACATCAGTCACTATTCTTTTTCACTATTTATTTTCACTAAATATATCATTTTCCGACAGTAAAAATGTGGATCAGAAATAGAACTAATGATGTAATGTCTCACTTCCTTGTTTATTTGATAATAGGTGGTTGGATGATCAAAAGAAACTTGCTGGTGTCTCCTCTGAATCTCCTGTGTGAGTATCTTGTGATCATCAAATTTTAATCTTTGTATTATGCACGCACTAGTTTATTGCTCTTCTTCAATCGTGAAATGAAGTTTGGCAAAGAAGTTGGTTGTGCAAATTTAAGAACTAGTTCAAAACTAAACTGTTTTGTGTTTTGATTCAAAGGTATCTCTCTCTTCGGATGGATGGGCGTGTTCGTGGAAGTGGTGTCGGTTACCCTCCATGGAATGCATTTGTTGCGCAACTTCCCCCGTTGAAAGGATTGTGGTCAGGCCTCCTGGATGGCATGGATGGAAGAGTTCTTTGATGAATGTGATTTCTGGGCAGCACACAACTTACCTCAGTTCATTTCTCCCCTTCATATGTCTCAGGGTTTTGGCTACAATTTAGGTATCAGTATGTAACTTTCCCATACATTTTATTTATTCTTTTCCACCTGTATTACAATGCAACACAAATACGGCTCTCCATATTGCAAAGCACGATGCTAGTTTATTGGCTCAATGGTCTCTTTTTTTGCTAAATGCACTATGGTTTTTTGATTGTATCATATCCTTAGTGGTGCTGATGTGTGTATATTGCCACAAGATTAGAGTTTTGCAAAAACCGTGGATGTTGAAATTCTAGAAGTTCCATTCAGATATGTTGAATGTCGTTGCTTGGTCTTGGAATTAATAAGGCGAGCTTATTTGTTCTGAAGAAACAAGTTATTGTTTATGCAAACCACAGTTTTCTACTCTTGTTTTGCGTTCATTTTAGAGAAAAGTTTGCACTCTTCGGAATTTAAAGTTCCATCATGCACTAGGGTGAATTGTTTTCATTCCCTCTGGTTTGTAAGGATCCTAGATGTTTAAAGGCACAGTAGTTGCTATTAGCTAACCTTAACCTTGTCTTTCTCCAGAACAAGGAATTTCGAATTTTTGCATTTATTATTCCCACATGGTGGATGTCACTTTACTTCTGTTGAATCTTAATGTATCATTGGACTCCTTTGCATCGTAAATATGCTTCGATTATCATAGTCGTTAAAAGATGCATAGAATCGGGAACCTTTTTGTGCAAATTGGAGTATCTGTATCTCGACATATAAAGAAAACTTGGAACTTCCTATGGCCTTGTTGCTTGATTCACACTTGGCAGATATATACTTGATCCTCAATTGTTTGCAATGGTTTTGTTTTCAATTCAACATAACATGATTGTGGAGCGAAAGGAGGGCTAAGCACTAGGTGAATGTACATAGAATATGGATTAGGAAGAAGTAACTTCGTCAAGTATGGAAGCACATTGGACAGGAAGCTATATAAGTAGAAGATTCTCAACAAATTACAAGGATTGTTCAACACAAAATCAGGGACATCTTATGCGACTTCTTCGACTTCGTCCAATGCATAATTGTTGGTAGATACATTTGAGTAGTTCACTTTGCTAAACCTCACAACAACTGGGTAGCGAGTCTTGGGATCCTGCCACATTTAAACAACCACCTCAGTCACCACAAAATGCAGAAGCCATGTTTGAGGTAAGCAAAAATCTGTCTGCAGTTATTTACCTGATCAACTGCAACAACTGATCCCACATCCTTGTACCAGTATGATTCCTTCCTCAGAATTCTTACCTGCAGTTCATGAAACATTAGCATCTTACCAAGTCACTTGTCCCCTTAAAATCTTTGGATAAATGTTCTACACAGCTGTGAGAAATCTCTTTTGAACTATCTTTTGTGATTTGTTTCCTAGTATTTTACTAAGTACTGTTACTTATCCGATGTACTTTTTTACATTCTTAAAACAAAACTCAAACACAATCCATCCAAACCAACATGTTAATGGTTTGTTCTTCCATTCGTGTGTACCAAAAATAAGCATGAACGGAAGATGCTAGCTTTACCACAGCACTACAGCAGGATAGTAACATGATTTCATCACATCTTTATAAAAAAGCATGTACAAATTACATCAAAAAGGGGGCTTTGTTTTTTTAGTACTACTGACCTTTGCTCCTCTCTTGGGTCCAACCGGCGGCGGCTTGGGGGCGGCCTTAGGAGCTTCTTCAGTTGCGGTGGTGGTCTCAGCTGGGGCGGCGGCAGCTTCATCGGCGGCGCGTACAACAAGCCTCAAATTACTGTTGGTGGCAGGATTCTTGGAATGGAAGAAGAGCATGCCACTCTTGGAAGTTGTACTTGTGTTTGAGCTGATCACATTTGGTGTCAAACCAAAACCTAATGCAGCAGAAGCCATGCTGCAGCTCGCCATTTTTTGCTTTGAAGTTCTTCTCTTTTTTGAGCTTCTGTAGTAAATTAATGGAAACTTGTGTTTGATAATGTGTAGGAGAAAAAGATCAATAGAATAAGCAAAAAGCCAAGAAGTAAGACCTCTGAGGCTTTCAATTATTCGGATATCTATTTCCTGGATGCTGATCAATTGAGAAAAGCTCTGTCATTCTCCCAACCATTGAGATTCCGCCACCTGTTTCCCGTTATCTCTTATTTAGGATAATGTCACCCCCACAAATCCTTCCTCTATTACCATTTTTTTTTTTCTTTTCTTCCTCAAAGAACCCCACTTTTTTGTTTTTCTTTTTTTCTGGAGAAAAAAAACAGGAAAAAAGCTGAAATGTCTCCTGTATATGCCATCATTATTTCGGAAAGTGCCATTTATGAAGGTTTTGAAGAAATGAAAATCTCCAATCAACTTCAGTTGCGACACTACTGTTTGTGCATATTACCCTCTCTATTTCGTTTTAAAATTGTGGTTCACAAATAGGACCTTACGTATTTGTTTAAAGGAATGCAATGATAACTAGTCAACTACAAAACATTAGGTTGAGACCTTCATCGAGTGATAATTAAAATTGTCAAAATGATACAAATAATGTATTTTAGTTTTTATCGACGTCTTCAGTAGATTTATTCAGGAGACGAAAAGATTAATGCCAATAATTTTCCCGAAAATAAGTACTTGTTGATTTGGACATTGATATCGACATTGATAAATGAAATATTATTTCAAAACAACAAGATTTTCAATATGCACTAAAAAATTGAATGTTAAGCGCTTTTAATTGAATTTTGGATAATGTCTAGGTTTTTAGTTGCATTGTAAAAAATCGACGATCAAGTAGAAGAAGATTGAGTGCATTATATCGAAGTTCAGTTCGTAATGATTGTCAAATTGGCCTGGAAGGTGGACATCGTAATTCACCATGTTACGTGTTTTATTCTATGTTTTGAAAACCGGACCGGAACGTGAATCGGTACCTTAAGTAGTTTATTGGTTCATCGGTTCAACCGATTTAGACCGATTTCTAAAACCGATAAAAACTGGCTATAATAATATTTAAAAAATAATTTATTTTTAAAATTCCGATTAATCGGTACTGATTCCCAGTCAAACCACGGTTTTATCCGGGTTTGACCGAGTTTGACCAATTTTTAATTCTACCGGTTATTAATTGAAATCGGACCGAAAAGACCATCCATCTCAGTCGAACCGGTTCGACCGTCCCCATCCGGTTCGGTTTTCAAAATACAGGTTTTATTTGGCCATGTTGAGATTTCGTGTGTTTTTTTAAAAAAAAAAAAACCAAAAAAGTACATGATTATAAATATATTTTCTTACAAAACACAAAAATTATCTATTTATTATGTAAAGTATATTAAAATAATTAACGTGACAAATGAAATTTATTTGTTACTTAACCATATAAGTGTGAAAAAAAAAATAATATATTTTGATTGTCATTGCCTTTCTCATTGCTAATAATTTAGATATATCAATTAATATATTATTTAGTGTTTTCAAACAATGGATTTAATTTTTTTTCCTAATTAATTTTAGCTAAGAACTAAAAATAATTGAGAAAATTACGAATGCAACAAATAAGAAATTTGAATGCGTCATCGACTATGATGTCAGAGATACTGAATCGACAAAGAAGTGGACGAATCAACGGTCTGTCTAAACTCCAAAGTTCAAACAGAAACCTTTGCTTGAATTGTTTTGGTCAAACTAGCAGCTCCTTCGTTAGTCAAGACTATAGACATGAATTAATAAATCCATAAATAGGAGTACCGTTAGATTAAACAACCTCTACCTTGGTGTACAAGCAGCTAACTTCGCTGTAGAATGCCTTGAACAGGGTGAGTTTCAAGATCGATCTCTTGATCCAAATTAAAACTTAATTAAAGTAATTTGATTAATGTGGAGTTTCAATATTCAGCAGCAGTTTTGTTTATACAGATTTGGCGGTACATTTCATCATTTTTTAAAATAATTTTTTGTCATGCGGGTTGGCGTTGTGAATGTTTGACTGTGGCCCTTCGGAGTCAGGTCTACAAGGTGGTCAGATCTTCAACTTGGTTTAGTGTACTTCCGAGTGCTCAAGACTTGAGAGGCCACTTTATAAAAATCAGATCACAGGAATGAGTCTCTCCCGTTTGCAAGCATGATAGCTTTCATCATGATAAAGGCCTCACAATCTTCAGTGAGTTGTTTTTTCTAAAGTTGTACCAGAGACTTCATCACGGTCATAAGCATAAGCATTCATCACGCCAAATTCTTGAATAAAAGCCTCAGAGAATTCATCGAATTGAATTCGCCATGAATTCATCAAACTGACTTCACTCCGTCAAACCACCTCTTAGCTCTGCCATCCAAATACCCGCTTAATTACCTCGACTTGACCATACTCAGGGAAGCAATTATAGGAGAAATACTTCCGGCAATCCTTTAAACAGCCATGAGGGTTTTCTCCTGTAAAATCGATGGCTGAATCTGTCGCCGTAAGCTGATCACCGTCATCGTAAATTTCAAAGCCAGTGTTCGCCTGAGATTGCGCAGTTGTCACCACTCCCAGCCGAGAATTGGAAGCTCTGATAACCATGTTATCACATACAGAACCTTAGGTTTCTCGGAATTGGAGAAAAGAGAAGATTAGAGGTAGAAGCAGGAGAAAGAAATTCATTCATTTTCATCGACAATTCCCACGGAAGAGAGACGGTAACCGCCTAACTATAACATAATTGCAGTTCTAGTCCTATACTTTCAATCAATTCTATTCGAATCCCTCATTCGGTTCCATGACACAAATGCTTCAGAAAAGAAAGTCCAATCCAACGGTAACGTTTTAACTATATACACTTACTAGTGTAACACTCGTGCACTGCACGGTGATTTTTAGATATCATCATAGTAAATTTGAAATGAAAAAAATTATGCATAAAATGTCTCAAATTAATTCTATATATAAAATGTGAGCTACTAAAGTAATAAACTATATATATAAGTAAAAAATTGTTTTGGTGACTGACGTTTTCACGCGTAATGGTAAATATTTTGCAACTCACACGTTGTTCTGGACTGGGGATGGTGATAGCAAATTGGTTAATCGACTTTGATGAAATTTCCGAAGGATGACTTTGGTAGAGGAAGAAGCATAGGGGCAAAGAAGTACTTTGAAATTACTGGGACATAAAATATAAAAAATAAAAAATAATTAGTTTTGTTTTTGTTGATACGATGACGTTTGAATCCTTTTAAAGCGATTGAAGGAGTTTCAATGGACAAAAGCTCTGTTCTCTTTTAATTATATGGGTAGTTTGAGATTTTATCAGAATTTGAAAATAAAATATGCATTCAATTGAAGCATTGTGATTGAAGGATGGGATTCATTGGTTTGTAATTGACGGAGGCTGGCGGAGGGAGGGAAGGAGAATTTTCCGGTGGTGAAATCATTAAAACTAAAGAACCAGAGATTAAAAGACGGAACCCAGAAAAAACGCTTTTATCTTTTAAACCTGGAAATAACGACCCAAAATACGAACACAAAATTTAAGCACAAAGTAATAATCAACCAAACCTAATCAAAATTAACTTCTTCAGTTTACAGGTTAATTAACAAAATTGGAAGAATAATTTGATGTATTAGCATCAGTTCACAATCTGTTTGAAGTTTGGATGATGAAAAGTGAGTTTATAGAATTATTCTCAAACTGAGACTTTGCAAACTTTGCAAATTCCAGGGTCAAAAGACTATATTTTATCATAATTCGAAAATAAAGGAGAGAACTCATCCAAACTGATTTATAATTGTAACTGATTGAACCAAAACTAAATGTTTAAAAAGAATTCGAAAATAAAGTATGTGTTAAATCGAAGTTCACTGCTGTTGATACTGTCAATAGAAATGGTATTCGTAAAACGCAAATGGATTTTTGAAGTTAATGTCAATTTTTGCTGGAACATTTTTGCGGACAAATCAACAATTGACTTAGCAATTTCGAAGGATTATTGGCAAAATTAATTTCATGGATATATTTTCCCTTTTTTGTTTGACAAAAAAAAAAAGATAACTCAGAAAAACCGATTTATAATTGTAATTATTTGAACCAAAACTAAATATTGTCTCAGAATTTGGAAAAAATGTATGTATTAAAATTGAAGTTCACTACTTTCGGTCAATAGAGATGATAATTGTAAAACGCAAATAATGATCGTAAAAACGTACAAATAGGAAATTTTTTTAAACTTATTTTAACAAATAAAAAACGAATCAATGGTACTTGTTATAGATCTCACGCATATAAAAAGAAATGGACATAAAAATCCTTAAAGTAAATATATTATAACAATATCAATACTTACAATCAATTAAGGAAGCATAATCAGGAGTGATACGTTGAGTGACATGCTTGTTTTTGTCTCCAACATGAACAGAAATCGATGATCCATCAGGCTGATCTACATAAATGTCGAAATAAGAGAGGCATACAATCAAATGAAAGAAATGATTAAACAAATTAAAAATATATATACATTTGTATTAAAAATAATATCAACATACTTACTATTATTGTATTCGGCCAATGGAGATCTTGAAACTTGTTTGAGAGACCGCGGTTCCACAGAGAGTTGATTCGTAAGTTTGTTTTCTTATGAGTGAGGGGGCCATTTTCATCACCGATGTGATTTTTATTAGACAAGATTGGAGTTTTCCTTCTTTTTTTTTTTTTTTTTTCTCTTGCTTCCTCAGATGGAAATGGCTCCATATGAGAGGGGGCGGGGGGAGGGGGGAAGGCTTAACCACCGAAAGAAACTAGTTGTATTTTTTTTTACTATGGTCCAATCCACCGAATGATTCAGTCAAAATTCTTAACCGGTAGATGATAAAAGACAACTCTCACCGCAAGATTAAATACTAGGTAACATATAATAATATAGGGATTATATCACCGGATAATTTTTTTAGTATTTGGCAAGTAATTGCAACTAAATTATTATACTTATCTCATTTCTTTCTAGTCCTTTTTTTTTTTCCTTAAATCGATCAACTCTTTAAATTAAAATATATTTAATCCACTTCTTCAGAGTACTTACCAACGTATAAAAAAAATTTTAAAAAAAAAGGAAAGAGAAGAAAAGCAATGCATCAATTTAACATTCTGACATTTAATTTAAACTTTTTATGGTTTCTTTATGTTTGTGCTGCACTTCTTAAATTTGAGCGAATATTGATGAAAAACATTAACAGTATAACTTAAAAAAAGAATTTATAGTTCTCTTTGTAAAATATTTAAAGAATAAATATCCAAGCACGAACTATGTTATCTTCAACTTTTTTCTGTTCGTCTAGCAAGTCCAGATCTAGGAAGAATGAAGTTTTCGTTTTTAAATCGGCTATATTTTTATAAGGAATATAAAAACCTGTTATTCCTTTAGAAAGAATTTTCAAAGTTTCAAATTCTTAATTTAGTATTTATCTTTAAATTTGGTTTTGTTACAATGTTTCTCACCCTACGGTCATTGTTTATGTCTTAAATTTTGACTAGATGATTGGCCCAGACAGATGCCGGGACGCCCCCTCTAAATTACTATTTTATTAAAATCTAATTGAATTACTATTTTTTGAGGAATTAATTTGGCGTATATATCATTTATGCTACGGTTTGGGGCTTAAAAAATATATCTATAAATCTGAGGTTATAAGGAAATAATAAATAATTAGTTTATAAGTCATTATTCTTAATTGCTGGATTTAGGTATTTTTATTTTTTGTTTATATTAAACTTGCAAAACTGTACGATTGGACATTTGAATTTGAATTAATATGTCCATTCGTTTAAAATGTAACTGATCCTTATTTGTAGAATTTTTTCATTGGCATGGGTTACATCTAAAACATGTGTTTTTTTTTAAAAAAAAAAATTATATAACTTCTAATTAAAAGAGACTTACACGTGGCAAAAAGACTTTTGAAATCTGAAATATATGATGCATTGGAGCCAAAACAGATGCATACTTAGTTGCCACATACGCTTCATGTCTTCTGCTTTAATAGGGTATATATATATAAAAGGGATTTATTTTTTGTTTATATTAAGCCTGCAAAACTGTACGATTGGACATTTGAATTTGAATTAATATATCCATTCGTTTGAAATGTAACTGATCCTTATTTGTAGAATTTTTTCATTGGCATGGGTTACATCTAAAACATGTGTTTTTTGTTTTAAAAAAAAATTATATAGCTTCTAATTAAAAGAGACTTACACGTGACAAAAAGACTTTTGAAATCTGAAATATAGTGCATAGGAGCCAAAATAGATGCATACTTAGTTGCTACATAAGCTTCATATCTTCTACTTTAATAGGGTAAAAGGGATTGGATAAATTTTGACTGAATGGTTCAGTCAAAATCTAATGACTGGACAATAGAATTTATATATATATATATATAGATATTATTAATGATAGGAACAAAACAAAAGAGGGTTAACAATGATCCCTTTAATTAGGACCTCGTTAGTTTTTCTATAACTTACCTTATCGTGATTATGTTTTCACGCTGTTTAAAAAGTAAAGGCAATGATGAATTTTTATATATAAAAAAAAATAGTATAAGTGATAAGTAAGAAGTAACAAAATAATTTGCACAACGTTTCAGAAAAACAAATGATTTACACGGATTCTTTTTTTGACTTGAAGTTCATGAATATATGTATAAAAATGATCCCTTTTTATTATGACTTCGTTAGTTTATCATAATTATCTTATTATGATTAAGTTTCCAAAAAAAATAGTAGAAGAGATAAGTAAGAAGTAACAAATGATTTGCACAGTACCGTTTCAAAAAAACAAAGGATGCACCTAGTGCGGGAAAAAAAATCAAAAAAATTAAGTGCCAACAGATTTATTGAAAATTTATTATTTAAATGCGTCAATAGTTTCATTAAGTCAACAAATTTGTCTTTTTAATATACCTTACGCTTAGAACTGATCAGAATTAAATAAAACTATAAATGCAACCAAAAGATGTTAAATACAGTGAGTATACTTTTTTTCTTTTTTTTTTAAAGAGTGACTGCTTTTTGAGTGAGTGATTTTTTTTTAATGGAGTTAGTGATACCCTGGCTGAAGGAGACTTTTGTTTAATACTCATGATAAATCACATGGCACAATTTATGTCTTGAAGGAGACTTTTGTTTCGTGTGTGATTGATTCCATTTAATTAAGTTTTTTGTAATCGGCCAGTATTTAAAGTTGTCGACAATGTTTGACCTACGTCATTTAAGTAGGAATAACATGACGTAGATTAAAATAATACAATAATTAAATGGAACACATCTATTTATAGTATTATACTAAGAGAGAAACCACAGAGAGAAAACAAAAAAGAATTCTAAAGGTGCCACATAGGATGAAATCCTATGTGTCATTTTTCTAATTGTTGAGTCAAAAAATATTTACAGCAATTATACTAATAGTCCTTCAAATTTTACGTAAATAAAGTTTTATCAAATGGTATTTAAATCTATAGTTTAAAATAGAAAAATAAAAATTAATTAAATTTAATGGCCGGGATTAATGAACATTAATGCACCAGAATCATCCCCTCCCCAAAAGAATCCCCAAAGTTTTTACTGGACTCATTTTATAATTTCTTTAAAAAAAAATCTCTCTCAATCATGTAAATCAATAGACTACAATTAAAAAAAAAAAATCCAAAAACATGACCTTGTATTTTTCACCAATAAAAAAGAAAAAAAAAGATACAAAACTTGCCTTCAATTATTAATAAAAGGATGGGATTTAACTATAATTAAATGTTATCTTTTGAATTTCAAACTAATGCATTTATTTGTGTAATATCATATTTATCCAAATAAATATAATCTTTTCTTAATAATATCTCAAAAGTTGTTATAAACTTTATCTTTATCACTGAAATTTTAGATAATCAATTATCATCAATCCCAATTTATCTCTATTTATTTTCACTTTTGGATAGTAAAATATACTCCAAAACACCTACTTTACTGATATATTATAAATAAAAATAGTAAAATTCATTTTACACTTTTTATATTTTTTATAATATATATTAAAAAATCCCGCGCATCGCGCGAGTTTAACATCTAGTATTCAAAATAGTAGACATTTTGAAATTATAAATGGTAACAAAAAATTGAACAAAAGGGTACTAATCGATTAAAAAAATAAATTACCTAATTAACATATAACTCATGGTAAATTTATAAAGTAACCATTTTACTTATATATCATTACTGTTTAATGAATTCCAAATGACTAATTGATATGTGTAAGTGAAATCAATTTATTATCAATTGAATGACACATCATCACCCCATCTCCTATCTTTTAATATATATATATATATATATATATATAGGATATATGATTTATTTACAATTGTTGGGCTATCAGCTAACATGTAGTGTAACGCCCTTACCTAAAATTTAATATATTTGAAGAAAAAAGGGTGAAAAGGGAGAATTAGAAGTGGAGGGAGCATATTTCAGATCTATAGAAGGTGAGAAAAGAACCAAAATAATTGGGGGATGAGAGTGAAAGGGGAAGAACAAGGGATTTGAGGGAGAATCAAAATGTCATAGCATTCATGAGGAAAAATTGACTGATTTACTCAAATGTTGACATTCGTTGTCAATTCTACCTTTTTTTTTTTCGATTAGCCAATATTACCCTAAGCTATCCAACCGTTAGCCGATTTTATCCAATTGGCCAATTTCCGTTTAAATTAACGGAATTTTATTAGTTTTAATTATAAAAAAATACCCTAATAGTTTTAAAAATTATAAAAACAACCTTAAAAATTTGTAAAAATAACCAAACAGCCTTTTTACACTTTTTATTTAATTTTTTCTGTTTTCTATTTATTTTTATTATTTCTCGTAACTATAAAAATATATTATATGATCTTTTAAAAAAATTATTTATTTTTAAACACTACTGTGCAAATTTATAGATATGTATATTTGTAACTCATGGTTGATTTACATAAATATATTAATTTTTTAATAATATAACTTGACAATAATGATATTAGTTTTTTTAATTTTTTTTCAATTTAAAGAATAATATTTTTTGACTAAAAACTAATTTTTTACTAAAAAGTAAAAACTCTGTTTGAATTTCCATTGTATAAATTTTCGTCTGATTACTTTGTTTGTTTTTGCTTGTATTAAATGCGAAAACACTGTCCTCATAAAAAGGCGAAAAGACGGACCTATCAACGTTTACCCCCCCAAGTGAGTTATTTTTTCCCTCTCCATTATGACTATACTTCAATGCTTGATCTTTAGAAATTGTGTTCATTTTGGGTGTTCTCTCTTTTTGGTTTTATTTGTTTATTTATTATTTGTTTTTCTGGTGGTTGTGTTAATATAAGGATGACCTTTTTTACCGTGGTGGGTACGAATTGGGAACCACGACTCACGGTTTCATTTTCAACGATGAATGGCTTATGGTAGCCCTTGATCATCCAAGTGGGGAAGTACCTCCAACAAATGTTAGCCTACTCAACTCTCGCCTGCTTGCTGCTTTTTCTGGCGGGAGCGAATCTTCGCGTGAATACTTGCTAAATCTTCTTCCCAACAAGGTACTTAATTGCTGCTGTGAGCGCTATATGTTAGAAACAGTTTACCATGCCATCTAAGGAAAGAAAAAACATTGATTTGACTGTTGTAGTAATTCACATGGACGTATGTGTTTTAGTGCCGCGAACTTCAACTCAAGAAGGGAAGAGAAGCTTCTGCTGCAGAAGCATCCAAGTGGCTGGCGGAGTTTCTGTCCCTTCATCCCGACACGTCTTGCAGTTTTTCACTTTGTATACTGATTGCTGGGTGGGAGGAATCGGTAAGCATCAGAATCCTCTTTTCCATTTGATTTTCCCTACTACTCTTACAAAATTGATCATTGGTTGTCTTTCTGTATGACTTTCGCTGTATAAAGTGAAAGGCAACGGAAGACGGCTTGAAGTTAGAGGCTCATCTGCTGGAACTGGATGTGGTGCAGGTTGCTCTTCTTTAATTCAGAACATGTACGTCTCTTCTCCCTACTTTATTTGTAGCGCGTAAACATGGCCGTGGCCTTCCTATGTTTCTACCAAGTTGCAGCTTGCAGATTTGTTCACCAAGGCCCTTTCTTCCTCAATTTTTAAGTTCTTGTTGTCTAAGATGAGCTTATGGAACGCTCATCTTGAGGAGGGGGTGAAGGAAATGAAAGATTCTGGTTTAATTTCAACTCAGACAGCTCAGCTTACTTGGATTAATCTACAACAAGACTTTCCTCTTTCTCCTGATCTTAGCAACAGACCTTGGCGGGAAGAAGAGTTTGAATTGAAGAGCAGCAACCGATCGATCTTAAGTCGGTTACAGGATTGAATGACTAGGATTAATTCTGCAAATTAAGTCGGTTTAGTAAAGTTACTTAGCTGGCGTATTCTAGAAGATTGAATGTATATATATAGAAATGATGATTTGTAAATACGGTTATGTTGAATGATAATCCAAGTTTCAAGTTTCCAGAATATTTTTCTTCGTTTCCGATGAACATAATCTGTAAATTCATGAGGAAGACACAGAGAATTTATACGAAATGTTACAAAGTCTATCTAAACATTTCATTTTATAGTTTTTCTACCGGTCCGACTTTAAAAGCCGCTCCTCCTGGTATCTTGTGAGCAACATCCTCATCAACCCCCATTCTTGTGATCAATCTTCCGAGCTCTAAAGGTGGCAGTCACACGTCCATCTCCCACAAAGTCGATTGAACAGCATAATGACCAACGGTGTAGCAGTGATAAGAACGTTTTTCAGCAGACCACTACCAACATGCTTCACATCTGCAGGGTGGGTATGCGCTTGAATCGCAGTAAGCGCAGCTTCAGGGAGAGATGCTAATAATCAATAAAATCACCAAATAGCGCATGAAATTGCGAAAAGAAATAGATTCAGGTAGTTAACCAAAAAAAAAATATAGAAATGAATCGGGTAGTTAGAAGTATAGCAGCTGTAATAATAACTTGAGGGGAAAATACGTGGACTCAATACCAACATAATCAAGAGAAAAAATGAAATATAAAATGAAGCGAGAAAAGCAGTAATACTACTCCATAAGATACAACGAAGAAAAGCAATGATGAAAAGAACATGGAGAAATCACAGAACAGGAGCATATAGAAAACTCCCACTTTGTCAGCAGCAGCTAGCTACGCTATAAGCACATTTGTTAATCTTTTTGGCAGGATTGCAAGATAGGTATGATAAGAGCTGTTACCATGTGCAGCGGTCAAGGGTTGGATCACAGGAACAAGCTGCCACCTTCATGGTGAGAAGATAGGCTACACTATTCATTTCATTTCGGATTTGTTTCTATGGAACTCTAAAGCTTTCATTTTTTTCCCTTTAAATAAGCAACTTTCTGTTCCAATTTTATCTACCCTCCTATCTTAGTTTCTTTTATTGGATTAATTCATCACTTACACTCTCAAAAATTAAATATAGGATATTACAAAAGATGGTCAAGATGACAATATAGTGTATGTGGTGGTGGTGGTTTTCTTTTTTTTTTTTTTTTTTTGGTGTTGGTGAAGGAGCATATGTTACGGAGAAAATGCAAGATAAGAATAACACTTAACAGACCAATGGCTTTGAAATCTCACTCAACGTCCAACTTCCATAACCTCTTGTGCTACATCCATAGCTGTTACACAAAACCAAAGGACGCAAACAACTTTGTCAGACAGATCATATAGTGTTCTCATAAAACACGCTATCGGGGTTGGTCACTATCCAATATTCAAAACAGAGTTTAATCCTCTCATTGAACTAATTAACTAATCAAGGAAACCATTCTCAACTATAGAACTCCAAAAGACAAATAAAAGGCAAACCAATTCACATTTAAGAAAATTGACACCAAGTCCATAGAGCAGCCTCCAAACCATCTTCATTTCAGGCTGAAGATCAAATCATGCACAGAACTCTAGGATATAGTTAGTACATCATCTGATATAGTAGCTGTATAGTTTTTGACACTGTATAGAACTAGTTTTGAGGTGCACTGAACAAGGTGATCAACCCAGGTTTCACGTGTTATGAAATTCTGCTTATAGTAATCTGCTTATATGTGACGATCAAACAGCACTTCACAAAGTATAGTGTATTTAGAGGTTACTACTTAATGTAACACCAGGAATATACTTATCATTTAATAATGATTATAAACAGCACTGCAATGCAAACCTTATAAAAGATATTTTGACAGCACTGTAAATGGAGGTGCCCATTGTTTTGTTAGCTGACAGTACTGACATGAATTACCCAGACTCTCATCATGAATTCTACCGACATGAATTCTTGCAAATGGTTTCATTCAATTCTCATTACAATGCAAGTCAAAAGAGTTTAAGTGAATCTCTACCAAATCAGTGTGAGCACTCATTGAAGAATCAACCTAATAGGAAAAGAGTCTCTTCGAGGCAGTAGTAATCTCTGTCCATCTTACTTCGCCTATAACCTCTCTAAGCTTAACACGATATAATTTCCCAGTCTAGATTGAGAACAAAAACAACAAGAATGCAACAATGAGGGAAAAATTGATTCACTTTTTTTCATCCAAACTCCAGCTGACATGCTTACGATATTTACTGGAACTTAATGTGCTCCACCTTCTTTAAAAAGGGAAGGAGATTTTCATTGCACTCGGATTGATGATTGTTTTCCAGTGATTGGAAATATCAAAAAACATGAAAACCAAAAATGGCAACATAAATCACGCAAAGAAGGAACTCTTGCTCAAGCATAAAATCAAACACGTAATATACAACCAATACCTTCCCAACTGATTACACAAGGAAACATTTGGCAAAATCAAATTTTGTTGTTCAATCATATCGAAGAACAAATTTGTCCAAACAGCAATTTCAAAGTCATGATCTGCAGCCACAAAATTTAAGACACGAGTAAACTACTTAAACGTAAATATTTAAACACCACCAACTACAGCAGTTCCCCACACACCTCCTCTGATCACAAAACATGAAAGACGCGAATCAGCAAAGCAAGCAATGGAACCTTTTTTACATTTGTACTTGAACAACTTCACATACGAACTTCATTCAGACCAAAATTCAAATGCATAACATGCAAACAATTCCAACCCCTTCCAATTTTGAACGAATGACTTCAAATCCCACAATGTTGGCAAAAAGTAAATCAATTCCAACTGAATCCCACGCTAAAAAATTATACCTCTTTTTTTCTGCTTGCCGCCACTCCCTTGTTTTCTCTATACCAAGATTTCGCCATTTGCTGCGGTTGTTTATTTGTTTTCTACAGGTTGTTGTCAACAGCATTTTGCTGATCTTCTTTGAAGTGAAACTAGAATTTATGCTCCTTGAGTAATTAGAATTAGACATGATTTAGGCAGCGTAAGCTTAAGTGCATTATAGTCCCTCCGCCCCATAATTATTGTCCAGTTTTACTAAAATAAAAAATTTTATTTTTGGTCAAACTTAATTATATTTTACCTTAAACAACCGGATATACCCTACATAAAGTAATTGTTTAACCACTAAGATTTTATGGATAATGTTTTTTACTGAGGACAAATGTGTAACTTGATCCATAAAAAGTCAAATTGGACAATAATTTTGGGATAAAATTTTTGGGGCAAAGTGAACAATAATTATGGGACGGATGGACTACTAATTTTGGTTGCCAACGACATTGAATCCAATTGGTCTGAAAACTCAAACATGCGCCTTCCTAAGTAATAGCGGATCTAACTTTTAAATTTTAATTGCTTTCCCCTGTATGATGAAAAAAAAAAAAAAAACTCGAAAATGTAACTCACCGTATTACTTGTTATATTTAGGCACGTCAAGATTCCGTGGTTTTTTTTTTCGAAATCCAAACGAGTACCTGGTTATTAATATTCTTATAAAAGATAAAAATAATTTATTTATGAGGAAAATACTACCTCTGTCTCACAGAAAACATCCATATGAAAAAGAGTTGTAATACAAATCTCAAAACTCAAATTAAGTTTGTTGGGGACAGGAAAGTATTAAAATTATCAAGATCAAATGAAATAGATTTTGTTTCTTAACCTTAGTACCATCGAATAATTGCGAAAATGAAACAAAATATTATAGATTTTGATAATCGACTTTCTCGTTGCTAATAATTTAGATAAATCAATTTACATATTATTTAGTTTTTTTAAAATAGATTTGTTTATATAATAATTTCTGATTTTATTTAGAAATAAAAAATTTATTAATACAAAAATATTAATAGTTGAGAAAGTTACAAATATAGTAAGAATGTCGAGGGTGGAAAAAAAAAACTTGAATATCAGACTTTAATAGTTTAATGTCCGATACAACCTCTGTTCAAAGTTCAAAGTTCAAACGTCGATCAGAGGTTGTGTTTCCATAGGCGAACTCTGTGCAAAGTTCAAACATAATGGACTATCTATGACATTTGAAAAATATAAAAAGATTATTGTAACCTCTCCGGTTTTTCAGTCATCTCTTAGGCAAATTTGGCGCGTAAATCCCTAGTTCGTAGTGTTTCAAAATCCTCAAATCGAATCGCCAAGGAGCTAGGGTTTCGAAGAGAGTTTCAATAAGGAATTCCAGGCAATGGAAACACAGGGAAGGGCGAGAAGATTCAAACCGTTTATCAAATCGAACTCCGGCCGTCAACCGAGAACCCGAGCACCTTCGTCAAAATTTCCGGCCCTTTCGGAAAATCACGGATCCACTGAGCATGAATGTAAGACATCGGTTTCAATTTTCCGGATCAGTAAGAAACAAAGCTCGAATTCCATGTGCACTTCGAATCTGATGCCATTTTACTACTATATTCGTGTCTTCAGTCGCAGAGATGAGGAAGAAGAGAGTCAAAATTACGCATTCTGAATATTCTCGGCCTCCGATTTGTAAGCCTATTATCTTTCTGTCTTTTCTTTTCCCCAAAATTCTTCCGGGGTATTTTATGATTAAGTCTGAATTTTTCAGCTGATGCTCCAAAAACATCGGAGTATGCATTTTTCAAGAAATTTAAGGAGGGCATGGGTAGTAGTTGTCATCCGTTACATAAGGATAGGAGTCAAATGAATCCTGTAAATGTTGATGATCCACATTCAGGTTGGTGCTGTTTTTCTGTTCGTATTTCCTAATGCGATTTTGGGCACTTCTTTATATAAGGTCCTGGGAAATTATTAGGTTTTCAGTCATTGTCTAACTGTGAAGTTTAATCCTTTTCCCGTCCTCCTTGTGTTTAGAGTCTTCAAATCTTTCCAATGTATTCAAATTTACTGAAAGAAGTATTAGATCCCCTGTTCAAGCACAACAGGAAAGGCCTACTTATCAGTTCTCTTTCCCTGCACGGCCTATATGCAATGAATCTCACCATGCTGGGGGATCAAAGAGTAAAGGTTTGTGAAATGTTAATTGGGAAAATGACTCAGGGTTAGCATGGATTTCAACAGTTGGCATTTCTTGTGATAAAACTTGTGTTCCGTTCTTGTGCAGATGACTGTAGAAAGTTTGAAAGTAGGCATCCCCTGCCTTGTGCCGATGTTACACCTGTTGGCAAAAATTTGGTACTCTCTCCGTTTCCCAGTCTACCAAAAAGCTCAGGTATACACTGTCATGAGACTGCTTGATTTGACTTAATGCAGTTTTATTCTGATCAACATTTATTTCTTTTACTTGATATTTTCCGGAATATTTACCCTATCAGAATGTTTATTAATAACATCAGATTTTGCATTTTGAAGATATCTGGTCTTTGTATATTGATGAAGAATATTGAAGCATAAGGGCTTGATGTACTCTTTGTAATTCTTGCTGTAATGTTTAGAATGCAATCGACTGTATTGGTAATGCTGCATGTTTTCAGCAATATAGCAGTTTGTAATTGTATTTTGATGAATTTCTTTGAAGCTCCTGCTCTTTCAAATTACCACTTTTTTGTCAGCTTAACCATATGCATTATATGGAATCTTATGAATCAGATAATGGATGAGAAATACATCATGTCGGTTTGGTAGTGCCTCCTGCAACTTCTTGTTTAGAACGCCTGCCATTGATTAGAGACAGATTTTGCTCCCATCTTTCAGGGGTCGAACATGTTGGAAGAGGTATATTTGAGGCAAGGAGACATAAACTACGCCAACTGATAGCTAATTCAAATCCCGGAGTGGGAGAAGGCTGTTCTAATGGGTCAGACACTTAAAAACTATTTCACATTGTTGTATACTTGTATGTAATGAGAATTATCAGGATTACAGTAAGAATTTTCTCAGGTTTGATTCGGTAAGAATTTTCCCAGGTTTGATTCGGTTTCTGCCCTGCTGAATCGCCTGCTTCCTGGGAGCTACGAGAATGAGGTATGGATTCATTCCTCTATTTAATAACACGAATGGAAATCCCTAAATTTCCTTTCCTATAGCAGTCCTAATCTTACTTTTGCAGTGTCACCAGTATACAAGATCAGAAGGAAAGATGACAGCCACTTCTAAGCTAGCTGCTCCTTGGGAATCATACAGTGAAGAGAAAACCAGCGCTTCATTTTTGCAGGGTCGTCAGTACACAAGATCAGAAGAAAGAGTGATGGATACCACTTATCAATTAGCTCTTCCTTGGGAATCATATGGTGAAGAGAAAACCAGAACATCATTTTCGCAGGGTCACCATCATATGAGTTCAGAAGAAAGGGTGATGGATACCCCTTATCAATCAGCTGCTCCTTGGGAATCATATAATGAAGAGAATTTCATCACCTCATTTTTGCAGGGTCAGCATCATGCGAGATCAGAAGAAATGGTGGTGGATACCACTTATCATCTAGCTGCTCCTCGGGAATCTTATAGTGAAGGGGAAATCAGTATATTAAGAAATCCTAGGAGCATGAAGTTCGGATCTTGTAGTCATGATGGTTTTCCTGAATATTGGTTTGGCAGGCCAAGAAATCGAGTTTTTTCAAAGTGGGATATCACTAAGTCAACCATCCAATTGGCAGAACATGATGCTGCAACTGGCTTTCAGATAGAAGATATGAACTCATTTTGTAGTTTGGATGGTGAAGCTACCAAAAAGAATTCAGTGGCAACTGATTCAATTCGCTACCTCTGTTTGGATGATTATCAATCTACTTATTCAGGTCATAGTAAACAGCTGGACTGGTTTCATGATCTCAATGAAATTCCTACCAGAGAACCCCCTAGTCTTTTGCTCAGTTGGAATACTACTACGCGGGAAGAGCTGCATAGTGGTTGTGAATTGGCTTCTTCATCAAATGCAGCTTACGAGCTGAAATTGGACGACTGTCTAAACGCGCCAACTGTACATACAGCTGCATTGGATTCAAATTATTCTTCGGATCTACGGTTATTAACATATTATCCATCAGCTCAAGGTCAAGCTCCTGAACTTGGAATAGACAATGTCGACACCTATACTGACCTAGAAGCCTACCGTTTCCTTCCATCCACACCACGGTGTCTTACAATGGCAGAAAATTGCGAGAATTCTGATGATGAGAACTCAGTTTTCCTTCACTGCCAAGATGATCCTTGTTGCATTGACACATATTCTGCCAGGCAATGTCACAATGAGGCCTTACCCGGGGGATTCGCTGATGATATAGGATGGAAACTCTTGCCATCAAGCGAGTTCTCGAGTGATGGCTATCCATCTAGTCAGATTTTTCAGTTACCTTTCAACTCGGAATATGTAAATTCACTTGCACTTGTTCAAGAGGAAGAAATTAGCTTCCAGTACACAAGAAACCGGGAATCAACCGACATCTTTGATATCCCTAGCCGGTTTACTTCCAATTTTAATTTGTCAATTGACAAACTGTTGGGCCAACCATTGTTGCTGGACTATTCAGGCAGGATTAGATCTGAAGACTGAAGGGCGTCACGTACTTTGATTCGGAGAAAACAGATGAATCCCAGCTGAAGATTCGGGCATATTTCTGTGGGTCCTTATGTTCTAAATACAAGAGGAGGAATGAGGAAGTTGCCTGATCTGACGACTCTTGAAGGTAAGTATAAATTCTTGTATGGTGGTTGCAACTTGCAATGTTCGTTACGGATCATAATTGTTAGTGGTCCAAAAGAGAGATAAAGCTCATCAAGTTGTCATGATTTTCATGTTGGGGCATCAACAACTTCCAGTATGCTTGCTTTCTTGGTGCCCATCTGAATCCTCATTGTTGTGTTAGTGCTGCCTGTTGTTAGTAATTTGTGTATTTCTGTAACACGGTTCGACAATTTTGTTGATTGTACTCATTCTCAGCCTATTGCATTTTCTAGATTTGCTTTTGTGGGGATTGGTTTTTGTATTAGTTACTCTCTCTGTTCCAAAATGATCGTTGAATGTATTAAAAAGAAAAATTAAACGGAACAATTATTTTGTATCAGATGGAGTATTAGACTCTCTATCTTTGATCATAAGTTTTGACAACATGTACAGGTATTTTATGTGGTTTTTGGTAAATCATGGTTTAAACTTTAAATCTCCATTTGCCAATGTGCATGATCTACCCTCAATCTAAGTTATTAGAGGGGGACCCGAGTCTGAATTTCATATTATGTCATTTTCTTTTCGTAGTACCGCAAACAATTCCTTAAAATTTTTATTTATGATATTTTATTCGGTGTTAGAAAATCACCGCGGTGATTACTCTCGATTCGAGTCAATTAGGTCCGTTTGGAAAATTTAGCCTCGTGATAATTAGTTGCATGTCTGGTTTAATCAATGCTCATAACTCTTCTCCGAAAGGGGAAAAAACACATTCCCCGTCATATATTCTTACCAAAATTTGTAGCAAACACAACATTAATTAAAGTGTAGTATACACTAGTAATTTGCTGCTTGCATTTAATATGCAGGTCTCAACTCAGCATATTGATCCGTCATTCACTTTTCCTTTTTCTCCGCCCCCTCAGGCCTCTGGGTATGTGTTGCACGCTTTACAAGCAGCACTGGACAGTGGACACACTCTCTTCTCTACTCTCCAAAATTCTCCAGAAGATAACCACAAGACCTGCGTTGGTGACAGCTCCATAAATGAACTCAAAAAGTCATAGTTTTAAACTATGTTCACGTACGTTAAACAAACAAACAAACGCATAATTGTCAATTATCTAATAAATTAATTCAACAATTTTTTTCCCCCTCAGGCTTAAAAACAGCAGGAAATTTGTTAATATAGCCAACTTTTTTTTGCTAGCGGCTCTGCCCCAATATTCGAGAAAAGAGAATAACGGTAACTATGGAATACGAAGACGTGAACAAAAAATGGGACAAAAATAAAATAAAATAAAAATAATAATGCAGCATTATTAAAAGCCTAGTGAGCACAGTAATAACGTGAGACGTTGTGGCGGAAAGAAGAAGACAAAATAGTGGGATGAAGCCCCAACTCGTGACCTTACTCTGGTTGTGGTCCCTTGGTTTTTTTTTTTTAACACCCCACCAGTCAACCCCCCTACTCTCTGTGTCGACGTCAGTTCTTCTGTTATCATCATGCAATTGTTCACACTAGCACCGAATCTCTTTTCTTCTTTTTTTTGTTAATATTTTATTTAGTTTTTTAGGTATACAGTCGTATAGTTTGTCCTTTGATTTTTTTTATTTTTATTTTTACCTCAGCAATGAGCATATATTATTATCCACTAGATTCCTGCATTTCTTGTTGCACCGTCAAAGACCATTCATTGACTTTGCTGCCCCTCTTTCCTGCAAAATTACCCCACTGATTTTTATTTATTTATTTATTTTGGTATAGTTTGGGGAAATCATCAGTCTTTGAAGTTTTGAGGGATAGTCTACAGAGGTGTGAAAGTAACACAATGTAATTGAGAGATGGTTAAACTTTTTGTCGTTGAAAAAACTGTTGTTACTAGCTACGCTTGACTGTATACTGTTTTACTTGCTCATAATTTGACTAAGCAAGTATAAGTAAAAATTTTGGTAAGTGTCTATTAAGCATTATTATCTTGCCTTATGATTTAATTGACATGCTCTCACTCTCACAGCTGATGATGAAATTCCTAAGAAATCGTTCTCGTTGTTCAGGACTTAAGAATAGGTATTCTTTTTCAAAAATGACATATCATATATGCATTATGGACATACCACTAGTAAATGGAGCCACCAATAATGCAACTATATATACTATAATTAAAAAGAGGCATTGTGTTTTCTAGCTAACAAACTCCATTATTCGTGATACCCTAAATCAATTATCGATCTCTCAATGTTTTTGGTCAACTCCCCCAAAATTCAAAATTGTGGGGTTTCTGACCATGCTTCTGTTTCTCCTGTAAAATTGCACAACTTGATTCGTTAATCGATTTATAGTTACTCTTTAATTTTGTTTTTCCTTCTACCGTTTTTCTACATTCACGACTCAAAAGTCTAAAGCTTGGAATCTCGCATATTTCATGTAGTACTATCTTTTACAATTTCTTTATCATTGGTAGGAAGCAAACAAAAAATTAAAAGAAATAAATTTAGTTCACTTTTCAAATAAGGCAGAGTTTTAATTAGGTCTGGGAGTACGTACGTTTTGGGGGCAGCCTTCGGCCTCGACTCGCTCTCCTGCACCAATCCCCGCGGCTGTGCCTCCGCCGACTTCTGCCTTTGTGGCTTTGGGATTCTCTTCTTAAGTCTGCTTCTTCTTTGTTTTTTAGTTATTTGCAAGATATCCCCTCCTTTTTCTCCACCATTTTTTTCTATGAATCATATAAGGTTTGAGACATAGTCTAAATTAGAAATTACTCGTTACAATATTAGTCATGAATTATGTCAATTAAATCGAGTTGTATTCATGGTTTGACACGGCTAAAATAATTTTTCAAGTCTTATGTCGTTATCATTATATTCTATTATCCGATGTTTTCTTATTATACACTATCTACATACTTTCTTGAATTCACCCCTCAAGTATATAATCATTGTTGGAATTTGAGCTAGTGCGAATGAGAATTTTGGTTTTTCATTAATTGGGAAATGAAATTAGAGACATTACATAAAAGGTATAAAAACTTTGAGTTCATGAGTATGTCGGACCTGATCAATCCGAGTCATGAACCTATCTTGATTTATTTTCCAAGTAAATGAAGAGTCCTTGCAGATTCATTTGAATGAACTAAATTCATGAATCAATATTAATGAGATGTAAGGGGAATGAATGTTCATATTCGTAGTTAGATTAAGTTCATGAATGAAACCTCTTTGGTTTTGGTGAAATATTGTATTTAACTAAGTGAATTGAATTAACTTGGGAGAATGAATAGAACAATTCTACTACTTCAAGTAACTCTTCACCTATAAATAGTGGCTCATTTTTAACAAACAAATCATCCAAAAATTCCGAGCTCTCTTAGTTTTCTTCTTAGCCTTTCTAGCCTATTTCTCTTAGTGTTCTTTGAATTCCAAGGTTCTAGTTCGCTGGTGAAGATCCTTAGTGCAAAGGAATCTTTACGAATTCGTTGTATTCTGGGAGATAGAAGCTCACTAAATCTCTTGCACATTCGGGAGAGGGATAATCTGTCTTAAGGAAAAATCGTGTCTTTCACGAGCCTCGAATTTCCTCATAATCTTTCCATCTTCAATTATTGCCATTTCGAATACACTATCTTTTAGTATTTACCCAACAATCTTAAGACAGATTAAGTTTGTGTGTTCGTGATGGCTTCTGATGGTGATATTAATGTTGTTATTCCTGCTGCTACTGTCGCCGTTACTATTGATGTTCCCAATGTTCCGGCCAACCATGTAGAGAAGCCAGACAAATTCAATGGAACGACTACAACTTTCAAGAGGTGGCAATAAAAGATGTTATTCTACTTGACCACGTTGAACTTGGCTAAGCTTCTAACGGATGAGCCTCCTTTGTTGCCAGAAGGTACTTCTGATGCACCCACTACTGCTACTTATGAAGCTTTTAAACGGTCAGATTTTCTTTACCGTAATTATATTTTGAATGGTATTCATGATTCATTGTATAATGTATATGAGAAGTTTAAAACGGCTAAGGAATTATGGGAATTCATGGACCGTAAACATAAATCGGAGGATGTCGGCTCAAAGAAATTTGTGGTCGGACGGTTCCTTGATTATGTGATGGTTGATTCCAAGACTGTTGACAGTCAAGTGCAAGAGATTCAACTCATCTTGCGTGACATCCAGGCTGAGGGGATGATTCTGAGTGAAACCTTTCAAGTGGCTGCGGTCATTGAAAAGCTGCCTCCAGGCTGGAAGGATTTCAAAACTACCTCAAGCACAAATGTCGGGAGATGACCTTGGACGACTTGATTGTTAGACTTTGAATTGAAAAAGACAACAGGAAAGCCGAATCTAAGGCATCTGGTGATTTAGAGGCCAAAGCTAATGTTGTGGAGTACGGCAAAAACCATGGCTCTAAAGCTAAGGTCAAAAACACCAATAAGGCGAAGGTGAAGCTCGGGACTACAGGTGGAGTCTCGAAGCCGAAGTACAAATTCAAAGGGAAGTGCTTCAATTGTGGCCGACAAGGTCATAAGCCGTCTATGTGCCGTAATCCTAAAAGGGATTCAGAGGAAAACATGATCAGTGACATCACCAAGGATGTGGAGGATATGAACCTTGTTGCTGTGGTGTCTGAAGTGAATATGCTTGAGTACAACCCGAAAGAATGATGGATTGACTCTGGTGCTTCCAGGCATGTATGCACCAACAGAAATCATTTCTCTACCTTTGAAACAGTTCAAGGGGAGAAACTCTACATGGGAAATGCTATTATAGCTACAGTTGAAGGGAAAGGAAGCATGATGCTGAAGATGACTTCTGGCAAGATCTTGACGCTGAAAGATGTGCTGTATGTGCCAGAAGTTCGCAAGAACCTTATATCAAGATTTATG